CTTTTAGTCTAACATGGTTGTGAGTAAATTAGTTATTGTTTCATATCTTTTAGTCTAACATGGTTGTGAGTAAATTAGTTATTGTTTCATATCTTTTAGTCTAACATGGTTGTGAGTAAATTAGTTATTGTTTTATATCTTTTAGTCTCTTTTTTTTACTAGACTGCAACAATATTTGGAAGTGAAAATGGTTTGAAAGTAACTGTAGAAAATGCGAAATGTATGCAGGCTAATGCCTTCATTCAAGCCACGATGTTTCATGAATTCATCATAAAACAAGAAAGTGTATCTTTTCAAATCAATCTGACTGTACTCTTGGTGAGTAGATGTTACATATTTATTTTACGTTCAAGTAACTCACTTAGCTTACATTTACGAATATATATTTCTGATACTTGAATTAAAACAAAATTGTTGGAGATGTGTTTTGATCGGTAATGGTCTTCCACTTGTGATTACGGATATGTAGCCTGCTCATATACAGAGAAAATGTGTATATAATCTCATTTCAAAGCTAGTTTGTCAAACCAAATATCATTCCTACAATTTGTCTCTGCACTTTTTTAAGTGTGTTAAACCATGTTTGTTTGTTTGTTTTGGCTTCTTATTGGAAATGATAGAAAGGACTTGAAGTACCGTAGGTTTAATACTTAGAAATCGGCAGTATTCAGCCGTGTACTTATTAGGAAATAATATATCCCTAGTTTTTGTAGCCGTGACATTAGGTTTGTTATCCAAGCATTATTAGTCTCAAAGTGGATTCCTCGTCATCGAACCATAAACTCTATCAAAACTAAAAAGAACCAAGCTAGCTGCATATGCTTCATTCTCGACAAATAATTTGATGACTCAAACATACAAAGGTAAGATAATTTTGCCTGAGAATCGCTGTGCATTTGGTCTTCCTGTATTTTTAACATTGATGTAAAATGTTCAAGTCACTATTCTCATCAGAATACTTTCGTTAATTAAGAACATAACATCAAAATCACCTAATTCCTCTACATTACCAAAACTTTAAATACTGAACTCTAGCTTCTTAACTCAAGTCTTTAAGGCCAGTGTTGTATTCCGGTTCACTGATGTCCCACAATAAAATATCAAGTTCTGTAACAGACGAGAGATCCTAGAAATGTTTTGCAAAGACTACATTGAAGAAGAAGAGAGTCGAGCACCGACGTAAAACAAAGAATAACGATAACCTTTGTTTAACAATACAAAACACTGAGATCTTACTCTGAAATATACGGTAGCTTCGGTAGACTAACTGGTTGCAGAAACAGATAGGAATCTACTGCCCACTTAACAAAAGAACCATCTGACAAAAGACTAAAGACAATCTCAGGTTACCCATATCAATGACAATTCCCTCACACATATTCAGAAGACACGTCATCTTTTGTTCATACTATGAAATGGTTACTGTGGTATGTAATCCTAGCCCGTGGTAAGGATTAAGGTAAATTTATGACTGTCAACATTCTGTTTACAAAACGTCAACCAAATTCAGAACACATGCATTAAAAAAATTGCCTCAATGACCTACTTCAAAGGGAATAGCCTTAAAACAAGATCACAGAAACACCAAATTGGTAGATCTGAATCTGATTTTGTACAATTAAATGTATTCCACAGGACATTTTTTTTGAAAATTAGCCCTATGTGTACGAAATTCGAAAAATCTAAAGAACTTTTCGTGTCTAAGTTGATATACTAATAATGGCTGATGACGGCTTGAATGGGTAATGAAGAAAAACTTGAATATAAGTTTAACATAACAGCAAATGTACAACGTTTCGACAAGGTTTTGTCATCATCAGGTACTTGATTCAACAATGAGTTGCCTTGGTTGATAGCGCGTTGTATATTGCCGTAATCATCTGGTTTGAGGTAGTAGGCTAGTTGGTGGTCTAATTTCTGTTTGAGTTTTTGTAAGTAGTCCAGTTCTTGATATTTGGAATTCAGGGTTGCTTTTAGGAGTTTTTTCTGCATGTTTTGGATAATACCTGAAAACTGGTTTAAGTTTTTCGATAATTTGACCCTCAAAAATATAGGATTTAGCTTTTCAGAGTGGCACTGTCTGAAGAAGGAAATATCATTTCTCCTTTTGATGATTTTTATATTCAGGTTACGAAGTT